GTGAGTCAAGCGTTCTAACCACCTGGCCATGCCGGGCACTAATGAATAAATAAATTGGTTGATATATTGAATAATATTTTATAGGGGTAATTTTTATTCTAGTATTTTAACCCTGTAGTAAAACTTTAAGAGTTTTTAGTGATACACCCGTATGAAGAAGTAGATATAGAACGTAAATAATATATATCTTTATATTCTATTTCTTCTCTGTTATTAAAACGTGTAAACTGCATTGACTAAAGATCCTGTAGAAAAAACAATGTTAAACATAGAGTTGGGTGTAAATTTGTTTGTGATTATTCAAAGTGTTATTATGTGAATGTATTACATATACCAGCATTAGAACATGTGTTACAATCTTCAAAATTTAACGACATAATTGCTGTCCAAAAAATAGTACAAGTTTTCTGTTCATTTACGATTAAAAAGAGGTCGGTAATGCAGCATAAAAACATCTGTCATAATTTAAATGGTAAAATACGTATATAATATAATGTGTAAGTTCATGATAACTGTAACATGTAATAAATTTCAGTAAAGTTCATGCTATAACACTAAAAGTATTATTGATGGTACCTGTTTTCATCAGCTAAACTCAGCATTGATCAGAAGATGTTCATAATTTGAGATTAAAACTTAATTTGCCATAAATATATATCACTTGTAGAACATGATCAATTGCTATAAATATAATCTTAAAGTGCCCTTTTGGTCTTTTTTTTTCAAACGGATTCTCCTTTACTGTATATATTAGATAATTCATATTTTTAGCTCTTATTATGAATGACGCACTACTTCTCACTTATCTAATTCATAACTTGTAATATCTTACTGGTGTACCAGTGATGAAAAATAGTTTGAATGTGTGTGGTTATTTGTGAATAAAAGAATAACAGCATTTATTTCTAATAATAAACACGAAATATACAAAAAGCTTTACAGCTAACAATGTTATCGTAGTTGTCAGCGTCAAGCTACGTATGAGTAATTGTAACAATTAAACATCCAATAAAGACCAAATGTCAGTTTTTTAACTATACCATAATAGTTTCTTAAACATGATATATTAAAAAATCCATTAAAGTTAAGGTTACCCTACTAAACTTGTAGTCGTCTTTGTCGACATCTTACCTATATCTCAGTGTATCACAACGATACATCTGTTCGTTTGAATTTTAGCGTGAAGCTGCTTAATACGTTATCTGCACTGTGTCCTCCGCGAGGAGTTGATCCCGAATTTTAAGGTAATAAGTCCTCAGGATTACGAATGAGCTACCAACGGACGTCTTGGTTAATGACAAGATGAAGTAAGATAGCTCGGCGTTGTGTTTTTCTACGTTTAGTTATCCAGGCGAGAGAAACTCGACGTTGTGTTCATAGCTTCGCAATATAGTTGTGTTATTTTACACACATATAATCAGACATTTCTAATTTGTGTTTTTCAAATTAAAGTAAGTACACTATTTCTTTTTCTCACCTGGATAAAAAACCACAGACCTTTCTGCCAGGTACTCAGTACCAGGTATGGTAAGCACACACTTAAAAACCCGGGGCTCGTCTCCTTTTAATTCTTCCGTGGTAAGGTCCTTGGAAACCTCCACGATGTAGGCACCTGTAAAGTCCAGCTGCTCATTTTGAAACAAGTTAGTTGTCAGCTGGCGGGACCTAGAGTGACTTGTCATCTCGTACAAGACTAAGCGAGGTAGCGGAAATACGCCTTCAGCTTGGCATCGCAATCGCTCCTTGTCACTTGATATGTATGTATAGTTAAGCATGAAGACGGTTGGGGGAGCTGTAAAAGTAATATTTAAAAGTTTTAACTGTTCTCAAACTGTATCTATAGAAACTTATAGCTACATAACAGCAGAATCATATATGTTCATCACATAATAATTCTTTTTACGTTGGAAACTAACTCATTTATCAATAAAATCTAAACTTATAACAATTATTTGTATTGAATGAAAAGATTGAAATAATTATATTCATAATATACACGACACTGATAAAGAACAACTCCAATAACAGCACGATGCAGCTTATAATGAGCCTGTTCTCAGTCAATATGAATGTGGATCCTATGGTGTACTGCCGCCTATAGCTTATAAGGTTGATTAAGTGCCAAGATCGGTACTCAACTTGAGGGGGGGGGACACCGTTTCTTTTATGAAAATAAACATCAATTTCATCCTCCTTGTTCAGAAAATAATAAGAGTTGGACCGTATCGAGAGTGTTGCTTCACTGAATGACTTAGTGTGTATAACTATTGTTGTAGTGATTATTTCTGTACCAAATATTATCTCCATTAATCATTGGCAAGGTTGTTTTTTTATATTTCTTTTAATCTTTGTCTTGTGCAAGTTATTGTTAAATCTTAAATTTGGTCTAATTAGTGACTAAGCAATGAGGTAATAAAATTAACTGTATATTTATTCATAGAGAGTAAATGTCTTTTATTATATTTATGGAGTTCTCCTTCTAAAAAAAAAAAAGTCTTACAATTCGAGCATTCCCGCAAACAGCCGGTTGGAATCAAAATAATACGCGTTAAAGAGATAACCGACTTTCAAAGAATAATTATTATTGTACGAGTCTCCGCTATGCTTCAGCTAATCTATTCATATCTAGTTCTACTGATGAAGACAAGGAAGACCATTGGACGTGTTGATTTGTAATATGAGTCTGGCTGCCTAAAATTTACCAATCCTAAGCATGTTCAATATAACTTTTAGAAAATACTGATAATAATGAAACACAAATTTCTAAATGGAATTTCAATTATTATACAATCCTTATAATGTATAACACTGGCGCGACTATAAATAAGACAGAATACATAATACCAAAAGGAAACGGTTTGCAAGTTCAGGATAAAAAAAGGTTAAATTAGTTTAAGTTAATTTCTGGCCGCTTTCAAAATATGTAGTTATAATAGTCTCAAAAATCCTTAAATGTACTTTATTATAAACTTTATTTTCGACATTAAATCTACTAGACTCGATTAGAATATTAATCGAAAGCAAATGCACGTATAGCTTTATATATATATAGGTACAACCAAAACACATATAAGTTCCACCATTAGATACGTATAACTAACGAAATATTTCTAATATATTTAATTTAGTTTATTTATGTTTAGTTGAAAAACAGTATATGAATGTTTTTGTTACAGATTCGCTGTAAAATTATATTCTAAATAGTGACCTATGAAGTTGAAGAAATTAATAAAGAAAAGAAAAAAATCAGAAGAGTGTTATATTCGAGTGTTTTGTTATATAAAGATGCATATTCATATTTATAGTAAGTAATTTGGAAATCGAACATGAAAGGCGCGAAAAAAAGGCAAGTGTATTTCATCTCCCTCACTAACTTTTGAATCGTGATTTTGTTTGACGAAACTATAATCATTGCTCACTCTTTCAAGCGCTGTTTAAACGTTTTCCTTACAAAAGTGTCAGAAAGAAAAAAAAATCTCACATATCACCTAATTCTTCCAAAAAAACTTTGTAAAAACCAAGGAAGAGGTTGCAGATGACGAAAATGCTTCGTTTACCAAAGAAAGTACGTTACCAAGTACAACAGACTAAAACATTAGAATTGGGACTGAAATTAGAATTCACAGAATTCTATGCACAACACATTAAAAGATTAAGAATAAAATTAGAATTCACAGACTGCAAATACGAAAAATTAAAATATTAGGACCGAAATTATAAATCACAGGCGGCCAAGTACAACAAACTAAAACATTAGGCTGAGGAACGAAATTAGAATTCACAGGCGGCCAAGTACAACAAACTAAAACATTAGGCTGAGGACTGAAATTAGAATTCACAGGCAGCCAAGTACAACAAACTAAACACTAGACTGAGGACTGAAGTTGAATTCACAGGCGGCCAAGTACAACAAACTAAAATTTAGGACCGAAATTAGAATTCACAGAATGCCAAGTACAACAGACTACAGCATTAGACTGAGGACTGAAATTAGAATTCATAGGCGGTCAAGTACAACAAATTAAAAATCCTATACTGAGGACCCTTAGTTCAATTTGAGTTAAACAATGGCTGCCAACTTCTGCCGCTGTGCCGTTAATCCCTATCTACCATCCAATTACTATCCGCGTTCTTCTTAATTGTAAAGACAAAAGGGCGAAAACGAAATAATTTATCGACATTGCCAATCTACCCAAATGGAGTGAAGGGATAATTACATGCTTCATTAAATATTTCGACAAGATGGAATTTGGTTGCACGCCTCCAAGCTACAGTTGATATTACAATAGTTCGCAAAAAAAGTAATGAAAAAGTTTCCAATTTCACAAACCACGAGCTATTGAAGGATAAACTCTTTAACAGAATCATTACAGATATTTTCATGAACATATTAGGAAAAATGACAAAACCTTACAAGTGCCTAATTTCGAGTTTTACTTCGTTTTTATTCTGTACTGAAAAAATCAAAGATGTAATTTTATGAAATAATTTTACTGATCGTTTTAAAGCTTTTCTTTAATGCAATGTAGTTACAGAAAAATTTAGAGGGGATATTGGACGATAAATATGTAGTCTTGGTCACTGTAGGAAACGTCATCTTGGATGGTGCACATGTGTGTTTGTGTTGTAATAAGTTCTATCTATTTTTAAGGAATTATAAAGGATACATTTTAAAAGTTTTTATCATGCCTTTCAAATAAAACTAAAGAGTAATTTAGGCGCTACGAAACTGGTACAATAATAATGCTAAGAATAAAATTTATAAAGGGCTAAGTATCGTTTGTTTTTACTAATTATTTATGGATTTGAAGTGAATATTTCACTTAAAATTTAAGCGATGCATTTATTATTTTCCTCTTTGTAAAAATATGTGAAACATAGGTTGAAATTAAGTCATAAAAAAAACAAAAAAAAAACAATCGCCTACGAACCGTTAAAAGTCATGTAAATGACTGGAGATGAAGTAAAACATTAAACTGATAGCTATATGTAAACTAACAGGTTTTTATTGTTTGAAACTAAAAGTTTTACCCGTATTGTTCTTATGTGAATTTACTTACAATATACTATCATCTGCTTATCTTTCGAGTCTGTTCCTGACAGCGATCCGACCGTACATGTGTACAAACCGCTCAGATCTATTGTAGGTCTGAGAATCTTTATAGCTCTATACTTGGTGTATTCATCGGACGGAAACACTGTATAGTTCAGGCTGACTCTTCCTTCTAAGCGGTAGGAAAAGTGTCTACTCTTCAACTCAGGAATCCACTGGTAAATAGGCTCTGGGTCGTTATTCAGGAACCATTTAACGACTAGTGATTTATCTTTTTCTGTAAGATCATACTCACAATCTAAAACTACCGACTCCTTGCTTCCGCTTTCAATCCAAGGGGGAACGGAGAGGTGTGTAATCTGAAGTGCTGCTATTCCTGTGAAAAAGATAAGCAGGATGAGCAGTTATTTCTTAAGAAATACTTGATAAACACACAGTTTGGTGACAATTTGTAAAGCTTAATGAAATTACATTTTTGAAGTAGAATAATTATGAAAATCTACGATTTATTTTTGTAAGAATTAATGTAACGATTTAGAAAATAATGCTTGGTAGCTCCTATATTAAAAGTTTTATTAAAATATAACAAGTTTACTTTCGAAACTCAGAGTTTTACAACATTTATTTTCCGTGTAAAAGTTTCACATGAATTTCAAGCTTAAATATGTTATCTTTGTTTTAAGGAAAAAAAAATTATATTTAATGCAGTTTCTTTTTTGTATACAAGTTTGAACCTAAATGAAAAACGCATCTTCCTTTTTTTAAACTGCGATTTCGACATATACAGTATGACTTTTCATAAACACCTGTAGACACATCAAAACTGAACCTGTATGTAATATTGAATAATGGTAAGTTAAAAATAAATGGAATTATGTTTAATCTACGGAAAAATTACAGGCAGGATAATTCAATAACTTTCCCTATTTCAACAAAAAATATCTTAAGGAATCTCATTAGAAAAAAAAAACGCAACATTTTCCGTAATGTTAGGAAAATTCTGCAAATATTTCGTGTTCTTTTGAATTGAAATTCCTTAAAATGTTTTCCTTTCAAACAGGGAAATGTGCTGTCGGTACTTTTTTTCCGACATTTTACAGATTTTTTAACCATGTAGAAAGTCGACGAAACCGCAGATTTCTGTTCTTCAACGGTAAAATATTTTTAAACGTTTTTGTTTTATTTTAAAACGTAGTATATACAAATCTCAGTTATACACACTGAACGCAGTATATACAAATCTCAGTTATACACACTGAACGTAGTTTTTACAAATATCAGTTATACACACTGAACGTAGTGTATACAAATATCATTTATACACACTGAACATAGTATATACAAATATCACTTATACACACTGAAAGTAGTATATACAAATATCAGTTATACACACTGAACGTAGTGTATACAAATCTAAGTTATACACTCTAAACGTAGTATATACAAATCTCAGTTATACACATTGAACGTAGTATATACAAATATCAGTTATACACACTGAACGTAGTATATACAAATATCATTTATACACACTAAACGTAGTATATACAAATATCATTTATACACACTAAACGTAGTATATACAAATATCAGTTATACACACTGAACGTAGTATATACAAATATCAGTAATACACACTGAACGTAGTATATACAAATATCAGTTATACACACTGAACGTAGTATATACAAATATCGGTAATACACACTGAACGAGTATATACAAATATCATTTATACACACTAAACGTAGTATATACAAATATCGGTAACACACACTGAACGTAGTATATACAAATATCAGTTATACACACTGAACGTAGTATATACAAATATCAGTAATACACACTGAACGTAGTATATACAAATATCGGTAATACACACTGAACGCAGTATATACAAATATCGGTTATACACACTGAACGTAGTATATACAAATATCAGTTATATCTATTGTTGTGATGTACCATTTGATGCTTAGAAGATCCCAATTCGTGTTTGTCTTGATATCATCAGGAGGAAATTTGGCAATTTTTACGGATGTTGCCATCAGGTATGGCTATAGCTGATGCACAGAGTAAGTTGAGGTGGTATTATTTCACATGTCTAGCAAAGACACGTTTGCAGAACCTACGTGTATAACTAAACGTGAACTTTCCATTGGTAGTGCATCATATTCAAATATTCAACTACTTTCAGACGCTTAATGCTACATGAGCGAAGATGGCCCTTGGCAGCTTGGTAGGTATATACCGTAGTTATAATGAGTTAACTCGGCTGACTGAAATCACCAGTGGTCAAACATGACCAGTTGCAGTGATGAAACGAATAAGCAACTGGCAACTAAGTGACCAGTGGACAAGAATGTGACCACTCGTATATTATTCTCTCATATACAGAAGCACGCAGGATCAACAAAAAAAAGTTAAACCATTTCTTCCTTATGAAGAAAAGTACACTTTCTAAAAGCGCTTGGGGTTGTTGGGGTTCTTTTCTGATCCACTGTTGGGTTGTCAGGATTATTTTCTGATCCACTGATAATTATGTTGTTGTTTTTTATTATGCACGTTTGTATTTTCGTTTCTTCTATTAACAATAAAGTAGGTTACCGGTTACATCATCTAACGAACAAAAGGAACAGCAAAATTGTTAGGAAAATGAAAATATTTATTTGTTTAGTTGTTTGTTGTTAATTAGGCACAAGGCTACACAATGGGCTATCTGTGCTACGCGCACCACGGCTATCGAAACCTGGTTTTTAGCATTATAAACCTTCGGATTTACCGTTGAGCGACTGGGGACAAATGGAAAAGAAACAAGTGTAAGACAGTGCACATATATAACTAGAAAGCTTGGAATGTAACTGAAAAATCTTAACATGAAGCACATAATAATAGTGTGTTTGTTTTTCAAATACATGGGGCCATACTCTTGCCCCCCGGTGGGACAGCGATAAGTCTTCGGATTTAGAATGCTAGAATCAGAGGTTCGATTGCACTCGGTGGGCCCAGAAGACAGCCCGATGTGGCTTTGCTGTTAGAAAACATACACACACACGCCTTAGTCTAATATTTTCGGGACCGATGATGTTATAAATCGTGTATGAGAGGCTTGGCTGCCCTTTTGAGCAACCCGTATCCTTAGGTGATATCTAGATAGGATTGGCTATTTGTCTCTTCGTGGGAGTTAGAAGAAAAACAGGTATTGTTTGTTTGTTTCAAGTTAAGCACAAAGCTACACAATGGGCTACCTGTGCTCTTTCCCCCACGGGTATCGAATCCCGGTTTCTAGCGTTGTAAGTCCGCAGACATTCCGCTGTGCCACTGGGGGGCGAAAAAGAGGTAAGTAAGAAATAAAAATAATAAATATTAATGTATTAACTACCAGTAACAAGTAGATGATTTTTTAGTTTTCATTACCTTACATTTGTTTCTTTTATTTTTCCTTCGAGTCTTACTGTGCCTTCTGTCCACTATCTTTCTGTGCTGATAGGCACGTGCAAATTCTTAGCCGATAGAAGAATTTGTGTACCTTTTTTGTTGTAGGTGGTGAATATAATCTACTAAAATGCTTGTACAGCCACTTTGGAGATTGTCTTCACCCTATCGTAATTTTTGTAAAAATCTATAATTTCATGGGAATTTTAGTTACTTCATAATTCTACAGACGCTGTTTTATAAACTCTTTTTGGAAGTCATTAAGTTACTTATAATTAATTATAAG